GGATATTTTCCAAAATTCTTGGCCCACATAGGTGTTTTTGGGCAGGTTAAGCAGGAGCTTTGGGAGCCCTAATGATGTGCTCGGTGTGGGCACACAGATCTGTTGGAACAAGACGAGGTGGGAATTTAGCACTGTGCTGCTCTGGGAAAGGCCTTTTGGGAGAGGAGATGGAGTGTTTGGGAGTGAGCGAGCCGTGCGTTATCCTGAGTGCTGGCACTGCTTTTAGCAGGAGCAGGATCGGACCCTGGTGCTGTCACAGCTCTAAGTGGTTCCTGACTGTCACACTGAGTTAGTGCATCTGCCCTGTCACCAGCCAGTGCTGGCTGGTACAGGAGGAAAGAAAGAGGATTGGAAAATGCCTCTGTGTGCAGGGTGTTAGCGGCTGGTGCCTTGGCTCCCAGTCCCTCCGGATCAGGGCTACCAGGGGGAACGTCCTTCAGGACTCTGAACATAAATCCTTTGTGCATGGCCTTGCCAAGGAGAAATGCCACTGTTAGCTGATTGTTTCAGGATGGGAGATAGGGAAAACTCTGATTTTGTTGGGTTTTCTTTTTTTCCTTTTAATTTTCCAGCAGTTCCTCTAATTCTGCTCCCTCCCACAGCTGGAATTATGTGCCTGGGGCTCAGCAGATGTAGAAAGGAGCTTCTGTAAGAGACCAGGAGTGAGATCCTGGAAGTTGCTCTGTGGGGTTTTCATTTATGCCCCTTTTTCTTGCTGCCTTCATATAACAGGGGAATTTTTACTCCAGGAAAATACATATATATATATATATATATATTAATTTTTACTCCTTCCCAGATTTGGAGGCTCTCATCCCTTCCTCAGACTAACATGTCATCATATTTCCTTGTCTCCTGTGACTTTCCTAGTCCTTCTTGTCATTCCCAAGCAGCTCAGCAATTAGTCATTGAAAACTTTCCACTTCCATAAGCTACCTGCTGTACTGCGCTGCTAAATAAGTAAGTGGCTCAGCTACTGCAGGCAAAGCTCTGACCTTCTGGCTTGCCTCTGGGGAGGGAGGGTGGTGAGTTAACTGCTGTGCTCCTGGAGGACAGGAAATCTGTGTGCCTTGTACCTGGACTGCTGGGATAACTGCATCAGGAGCAGCAGAATTTGGGGTACCACCTGCTTGCCAGTGCAGTGAATCCTTTGGGAAAGCTGACAGTAGATTGCAGTGCTCTGGACCACCCCACATGGGCTGTGTGGTGCAGGAAACAGGCAGGTCTGGGCATTAGTGGGTGCCAGCACTGATCCCCTGGGCTCACCCCAACGCCAGGACTGGTGACCCTGTGTCTTTACAGGGATGAGTTGGGAGTGGTGCAAGCTCAGCACCTTGTGTCATTTTCCTTCTTAGCAATCAGATGCTTGGCAGGAGGAGGAGGAATTAAAATAAGATCCTTAAATCTGGAGACCTTTAGAGGTTACATCCGTTAGGTCCTAAGCCTGCATTGCAGATGGTTTGGCCCAAAAGTTTCTGTGGCTGCCCAGGAGGAGAGGACAATCTGTCTCGCAGGGGCAATGAGGTGATGTGCTGGTTCTTGCACTACCTCTGGTCCTGCTGCCCAACTCAGAGCAGTGGGAGGCCATTTATTGACATGGGAGAAATCACCCCACATTTATAGAATATGCTGAGTTGGAAGAGACACATCAGGATCATTGAATCCAACTCCTGGCCCTGTGCAGGACACCCTGAGAATCCCACTATGTGCCTTAGGCTATCAATAGGTCCAGAGGTCATAAGGGTGGCTTTTAAAGGCCTCCTCTTGGGCTGCACTCTGCTTTTTGGCTGAGACCTGAATGCTAGCAGGGGGACAGGAAGGCTGGGAAGATCAGGGAATGCAGTGGGGTAACTGCAAGGAGGACTCATCTTGGGAGATTGCTGCGGGGGAGTTGAAGGCTGGAAGTGGCTGGCAGAGCTGCTAGGTCTGTTTGGATCCAGATGCAATTGAGCTGGCACACAGCCCTCCTGAAGACAAATGCTCCTGATGAACAGAAAAGGTGTCCCCACTTTTCTGCAGCTCAGACTCTCTAATTTTAGCTCATTCATTCTCTTGGGGTCTGGCTGCACGTCCACCCTGTGCACAGGGTATGATGCAACTGTACCCACATCATCAGTTTTCAACAGCTGGAAAAAGGTTCACCAGCACTGTATCCTGGTTTTAATGCTTAGAGGCACAGACTTCCCAGCCCATGGAAGGTGAGGCTGTGGCTGAACTAAAGCAGCACTGATATCTATTCATGCTTACAAAGCCTGGCAATAAGCTAAGTCATGCTACCAAGCAATCAAAGCTCCATTTTCACCACTTTCCTCAAATCAGAAAGACTTCCCAGAGGGAACATCATAAGAAAGAAACAACTCGGAGGACACCACTACTGTTCCCATGTCACTGCTGAGTACCCTGACTGGGATTTGAGTCTCTGCTTCTATGTCCTAAGGCATCTTGGTGCAATGCCTTGAGCCACACAGGGTTACAGGGTGCAGGAAACAGGTAAAGGAATCTGAAAGGCACCAGCTTCATTTGAACAAGGTTAGAAAGGCCTTGATGCTGGGGACCAGATTTTGCTACTTCCAAGGCATGTGGTGGATGCAGCCAGTCGCTGTGGACATTTTAGGAGGGAAGAAAAGAGTGATTGGGGTTTATTTTCTTGAAAAAATTAGTTACTTTGTCAAGGTGAAGCTCTATGGAGGGCGAGGAGGAAAGTAACAGGTGCTCGGTGTGGAGCTGGAGGCATGATTTCTGCTGTGGTGCTAAAATGGTTAATTAACATAATCATCACAGAGCTCCCAGTTAAGCCATCTGTTGCTTAGCAAACAGTTTTGGATGTAAATGTAATAAATATTTGATGATGCTGTGAAATGACGATAAAGGCCCAGGAACCAACCGGTTCACAGAAGAACCTCCTCTGCTCTCCTAGCTTGGGTTGTTTCTTGTTTCTCCCACCCCTCGCTCCTAAGGAACAGTCTTTAAGCCTCTGCCTTTGTCCTCCGCCCTCCTGGCGCCGCTGCCAGCGTGGGTTTCTGTGCGACCCCGGGCTCTTGGCATGCCAATCCTCTTAGCAATGCTGGCCTACAACCGCCTCATAATCACGCCACGCTGGATGTCTTGTACTGTACTTCCACCCCCATTTCCAAACCAACAGCTCCACGGCCGTGCTGTCACCAAAGACCTCTGGGTAGTGCCATGGCTGTAAGGCAAAGGCACAGTGTATGTGGACAAGGTCTACCACTGTCCTTCGTGATGCTTTGTGCATCATGCAAATTAATTATGGTTGTAATTACCCCGTAGGACCTTTCCAGTTGGCTGATTTCAGTTAAAGCCTTCCCCCATCTCTCCTTCTGAGTTTGTGCAAGCCTGTGTTGCCCCCATTCACACAGGAGGCTGCAAGCCCGCAGCTGGGCTTTGTTTTGGGTCTGTGTTTTCCTCCAGTCCTGTATGTGCACAAAGGTGGAGCCCATTCCCAGCATCAATCCATCGTCTGGAGACAGTTATTCTGCATTTAGGCTGCTGGGACAGAGATGGGAACCTGGCCCTGCAGTGGGAAGGTGGTTTTATTGTTGTGAGCCAGTTGTACAGTGCCAGTGCTGACTCATGAACCTGACACCAGGGACAGTGTTAGGCTAAAAATCAATTGGCTCCAACGTTGTTCAACACTCCCTATATTCATCCATAGTTCTGCTGTTCCTCAGCCTGTGTCCCGCCCCTGGACCAGTGCCCAGGGCCCTTGTGAGCCATGGGAAGACGTCACCCAGAAATGTGAATTTCTGAGCAGTCAAAGGCTGCACTGTTTATCCAGCTGATAGTTCCATCTCTGTCCTTTGCCTGGGTTTAATTTGAGTGTTGTGTTTCAAGGGACAGGGCTCAGTATCCCGCTATTCATATTTCCTGTTCATTGAGAAATTGGGGTTAAAACCCAGCTGTGACAACCCCTGGAGGGCTGGTTATCATTCCTTGCTGGGCCCTTGCCCTGCAGCTGAAGTTGTGTAAACTTTAAATCATGACATAATGTACTGGAGCAAAGCTGGGCCGAGGCACTGCAGCTGGATCACACATCCCTGCTGACAGTCAGCTGGGAAAAGCAAATATAAAACTGTACCTATATGCAACATGCCGGAGGGGCACTGTGTTTTGGTAGAAATGATTTTTCCCTATTCATTGAGAAATCAGTTTAGTTCACTCCTGGGCCACTGGCCTCAAATGGGACTTCTTCCAGTTATTTACTTACTGAGTGTTGACTCAAAATATTAAGATAAGCAAAGTTATATTTAAAAAAAAAGCCCTGAATACCAACAGGCACCAACTGTCCAGCCTGAGGATAAACGTTCCGTAGAACTAGTGCAGACGTAGATATAGTTACTTTAAAGCAAACTACACAAGTGAACATTTATCTTCTAACAAGGCTATTTTTGCTGTTTAAACTTGGCCTTGATTTTTTTTTTTCTCCTTTCTAATTTCTCATGGTTTTATGGCTGATTGGAAAAACCTTCAGAAGTAATTAGGTAACTAAGAAGCTGAAGATCCCTTTGGATTTGGGCTTGGATAGCAGAAGCTTTTGAGAGACACTTTTAGCATCCTCAGCAATACATTATTTCCAATATATTAATTTCTAACTAATGTGCCTGCTAACTCTATCTTGGACTGCTCTGAGCTGAAATCAATGTCATAACTACCCATGTTTGATTCCACCTGCAGCAAGTTTTTTGGGGAACCAGCTTCCTTGTGGATGCAAAACACCAAAATTTTTACGGACCTACTGCTCAGGACAGATCTGGGCTCCCTGTCCCTATCCATCGGGTTTAAACTTTCCTCGGCCAGGAGAGTGGTTTGGAGCAGCAGAGCCGAGATTTACCGCTGCAGGATGAGGCGCTGGCTTTGCCAACCAAATAGGAGTCAAGAGAGAAGGTATCCCACCCTACTGTCCCTGGCGTTTGCCCGCTTCCCTGCCCGCGCATCCCTCGGCTCACCATCCCTGGCAGCTTGCGGTGTGGCCCCATCCTTACCCTGCTCCAGGTCCTGCTGGTCATACCAGGGCTCCTCTTCCTCGCTCTGAAACTCCTCCATCCTGTCGGCGCTCAGCATTTAGCACCAGCGGCCCGGGGAGACGCGCAGCATCCGCAAAGGAGCCGCCGACCGAACCGCGGAGCGGAGATGCGGGGATGCGGGCAGCGCGCATGCGGGCGGGGATGCGGCTCGGTGCCCTCGCCGGGCCGGGAAGGGGGGATGCACGACGTGGCAGGCCGGGGTGCCTGGTCGCTGCCCGGCTCTGACTGCGTGCCCCTGAGGGGTCTTTCCGCCTGCCTCCCCAGGGCCGGGGAGGGCTCCGGAGCGGGGATGCGAGCGGGGACGTTGGCGGCCGGGGCGGGGGCACGGCTTGCACAGGCTGCGGGAGCAACAAAAGGAAGGAAGAGGGCCCGGCGCAGCCAGGCAGATCCTCGCTCCGCAGCTCGGTGGGGACCTCTAGCATGGAAATGCTGCAAGGAAAACCGGCGAGAGGGAAGGGGGAGGCGAGTGAGGCCGGCCTCCTTCTCCTCCTCCTCCTCCGCCTCCTCCACTCCGCCCAGCCCCGCCGCGCACAGCGGACCTGCGGGGAGCGCGGGGCTAAGGTGGGATGACCCGGGCTCCGAGGAAGGCGAGATGCCCCGCAGCCCCCCTGCTCTGACCCTCCGGCTGAGAGGTCAGCCGGGAGCAGGACATGCGGTTGGGATGCCGTGTCCTGGCCTTGCCGTGGGCTTCGCCGTGACTTTGGGCAAGTCTCGGGACCCCTCAGTGGGGATGGCAGTGCCTCCTCTGCCTTGGTGGGTTTGTGTGGGTTGTTCTCCAAGAAGGGCATCGGCCCTCCCTTAGCTGGGGCTGCAAAAGGGGACGCCCCATACCAACAGCCCCACAGCATCACCTCAGTGTGGTGTCTTCCTCCAACTCTGTGTTGTTTTGCACCCCGATGGGAAATCAGTGCTCCCGATGCAAGTTCCTCTCTTATTTTTGAGGACAAATTGTCGCATCTTTCTGAAGGGTGGAATGAGCTTAAAACTGAGGGAAATGAGGATTTGTAGAGTTCTGAGGAGGAAATGTGTCTGTTAGGTATAAGTAGGGTCAGAAAAAACTTGGGATTTTGGTACTTGCTTTTCAGCTCAAGGGAATGACTGTTAAGAGATGGTGGTCTTTCTCCTAGCTGCTAGTGTGGAGTTTGGTCCAAGGAGATTTATTTGTCCTTGTCAGCCCTGGAATCCATCAGAGACTCTAAGATCCAAATGAACTCATGTGACAGTGGGTTTAGATGATGATTTTTTTTTTTTTTGCCTTCTGTGTGATGGAACTCCCTGGATTTATATTTGATTGCATTATCTTGCAGTGGTGCCCACAGAAAAGGCAATATAAGATGTTTACGCAAGAGCAGCAGACTGTGCATCCAGAAAAGATGGGATCTGTGTCAGAAAACTCCGTCCAATCCAGCAGTGACAGGCAGCTGGGAGCCCCTGGATGATTAAAGCCAGGGCTAGTACTCAGCTCTAGTGTACAGCACCAGAGGAGAGATTAAGCAGGGAGTAAGAGAGAAACTGTAGACTATTCCTCTCCCCTTCTTTCCTCATAGACCTCTCCATCACATATACACATTTGCAAAATTCAGTGGCTGCCTGGGAAGTCATCTGCCTTAATGCATTTGCAGACCAGAATCAAGGAGTCTCTTTAACTTGGCATTTATAACTCAGCAAAGATAAGCACTTCTGATGTGTCTGGAAGAAAGCCATCTCTGAATCCTAAATCTTTTTCTAAGCAATTTTAATACAGAAATGGAAAAATCTTAATTTTCTCGTGCCTGTTGAAGAGGCATTTGGACAATGCCCTTAAAAACATGCTTTAATTTTTGGTCAGCCCTGAAGTGGTCAGGCAGTTGGACTGGATGATCACTGTAGGTCTCCTCTAACTGAGTTCTTCTATTAATTGTGAAAAATAATTGACTGTGAAAAGTATTCTTTTCCTAACAATAAATTATTATCATTTATCTGTAGAGTGTAGTCATATTGAGTGAGTGCTTGGATGCAAAGCCCCAGGCTGTTTGGCAGCAAAAGCCAGATTAAATGATTTTGTGAAAATACTTTTTCCTGTAGGTTTTACACGAATGTCTCTGATGTGACCTGTCACTTGACAGAACCAAACATCAGTGACTCCCATACACGTTATATGCCAACAAATGAGAATTCCCACAGTCTGCCCCAGCTGGAGAGTCAGCACATTGCTTTTCTTTGCAGAACGATTGGAATTACCTCATTTCCTCTGAAGAAAGGAGGTTTGCAGAGCTGAGCACGTGGAATGTAATTCAGGGACAGCAGAAAGACCTGCTTGCAGTTCATAGAGCTGCTCAGAGCAGAAAACGGTGACGATGGCTTCAAAGGCAACACGGAATGGCCTCAAACAGCCGCTTTGAGGTGTTCAGTGAGTGCCAAAACATGAACTCCCACTGCCGAGGGTTATAAAACATCCTCTCCTTGTGGGTGGGTGGAATTTCATTAGGGTTAATGGGCCACCACAGGCAATGAGCTGCTAATAAGGTGTTCCACAGGGTATGTGTTACAAGCCCGGTTCCTTTCTACGCAGGACTAGGGAGAGGCCAGAGCCAGCCGTTCTCTTGGCATCCCGTTGCCCCTCTGGACCATCCGGGCTTGGGGCCAGGCTGTGGCAGTGGCTGGGCTCTCCGCGGGTGGCTCAGTTGGGCTGTCGTGGGGCTTGTGCCCGAGAGCAGCTGAGCAGAGGGGCTTCAGGGGACAAAGGCTGCGGGCAGAGGAGAGGGAGAAGGGGCAAGAAAAGGGAGAAGAGGTGAGAAGGGGGCACAGGAAGGTGATGGGGGGAGAAGGCAAAGGATGGAGCAGAAGGGCTGTATAGGAAGGTGAGGGGCAGAGAAGGTGTAGGGAGCCCAGGCAGGAGGGGAGAGCGAGGAAGGGCTGGAGGAGGAGGGTGAAACGAGGAAAACCGTGCTCTGCCGTGAGGAAAGACGAGGGAGGGTCGGTGGAGATGGAGGGTGGAGGTGGCGAAGGGATGGCAGACCGGGGTGGGAAAGGAGGGAA